TTTCTTGCCGCTTTGAGACCCCAGTGTGATAACGTCCAAGGAATATATCTGGGTTCATCTACATGTAGAAATAATGTGTGTGACACCACTTTAAGTTCTGTAGCTCCATCCTATGGGATCTGTAGTTTCACAAAGTCTTTACCCTTCTCGGAAATTAATTTTAACAGTGGGATTTTCCAATTTTTAAGCTATCCTCTTACCCCAGTTTTTTTTTTTACTTAGAACCATAGAAGACTGTAATTTAAAGAGTAACCAAACTAGTTCCCACATGTATCACCCCTTATAGCAAATGACTGGGCAGGGAAGCTTGCATTCTGTGCAGAACAAATAACTTTACAAATTAACTTTCCATGCTCTGAATTAAGTAAGGATGTAATTGCATCCATCTGCGTGTGCAAGGGGCTGAATCATCAAGAGACAGACTCAGTATCCATAATTATAATGGTAATCATTATTTTAAAAAAATTATCAGGAAAACATTATTTCAGGTTGTTGGGTTTTTTTAAGTTTTGGAGATGAAAATTAATTGTTGGAGTGACATGGAGATCAAGTCATCTGTTTATTTTATACCTGCTTTCCAATGAAAACACATGCAACCCTTTTAAATCTAAATATAGTGGACTGAGGGCCTGGAGATGTCTCATCCATAGGGTCGTGCAAAGGCAGCTAACAACAACAAATACAAAACAGTTCAGAAATTAAAAAAGGGGGTAGAAAGTGAATAAATTAGACAATTGGTAAAACAAAACATCTAACATTCTGTTTTTGCTGCAGATCAGACCAGTAACTTTGGCTTTTGTGACTCCTGAAGGCATTCTACTTTTGCAGTTGACGTTTCTTTTTGTTTCTTACCTCCTCTCGTCTCCCCAAGTGCTGCAATATTTCCTGTATGTATGCAGCTTCCTTTCTTTTGCATTTGTTGAGGCTGTATGCTCTGTGTGTGTGTGTGTGTGTGTTTTAATTTGGTCATATACCCCTCAGTTTTCCTAAATAGTACCAAAATGGGTGAAAGGGACTTTGGGATTTATGTGTCAGTTTCCAAAGTTGTGGTTTCTGACTTATGGTTGTCCTAGGTGAACCTATCACAGGGTTTTCTTGACAGAATTTGTTGAGAGGGGGTTTGCCTTTGGCTTCCTCTGAAGATAAATGTGTGGTTTCCTTTCTGTATTAAAATTGGGTTGTGTGTGTGTGTGTTTATTGGTGTTTCATGTTGTTCTCTCTTTAACTCATAATAAAGAAATAAAGCCAGAAACAAAAACCCTGAGGTATAACTGTACTTTGCTAGACATCAGGCTGAATCTTCAGGATTCAGAAGAAAGCATGTACAAAATACTGTGGCAGTGTAGCAACAACCACACCAGCCATATACCATTCTTTACAGCTATGAACAAAGGATCCAGATCAGATATAAAGGATTTGGGACAAAATCACCTCATGCCAAGTAACCAGTGAAACTCTTCTGATTCTTGAAACATCCAGACATCTTCAGGACATGCAAAGTTCCATGAAAACATTCCAACCATTATTTTACTTCCACATGGGAAAGATGTTGGTGGCTTTCTCAGTTTCACACCACATAGTTATTGTGCTGATTCCACATTAGCTGCCGTGGCTCCATCTTATGAAATCCCGGGGTTTGTAGTTTGGGGAGGCACTAGAGCTCTGTGGCTAAAAAGCTAGAAAGCAAGGTTTGTAGCCCTGTGGCTAAAAAGCAAGGTTAGTTGTCTGGGGAGGCACTAAAGCTCTGTCCCTAAATTACAAATTGCAATACACCATAGGATATTGCCATGGAATTAAAAGTGGAATCATAACGCTGTAAATGTGTAGTATCAAAGAACCCCAGGTTTTGGTGCAGGTAAGACACTACAGTGGCTAACTCCTGTGAGAAGATTAACTCAGCCAAGTCACAGCACACTTAACAAGGGCAGAAATAATAGTGATCAGGCACTCCCCAGTACTGAAGGCCAGATCAGCAGCCATTAAAGAATTTACTTTGAAATTAAGCTATGTTAGAACACCCTGCATACCCCATGCAGTATTTGGGGGTCCTCATATTTAATAACTAGATCCAGCATGTTCTTGATAGGTCATAATGATCTTTAGGAACCCCAGGTCAGGTTCTCAGGAGAAAAGGAGTGAGACCCAAGGCATGTACATATTCCGGTAATAAGATAATCAAATTTAAATGAGTATACTAATTGCTCCATGCTTCCACCAAGCCCCCTTCATTTCCTCTTGCACCTTGAGACAAAGGATCCCCTTGCACCCAAAGCAGCAAGCCAACCTCTCTGCTTACCCCTTGTTGTGCTCCCAGCCAAATTTCCCTGTCTGTCCATCCTGGGGATATCCTGATCCAATTGCTGTTTTTGTCACACTAAAATTAAAGCCATCCACCCATCAGGAACCCCACTGTCCATTCCTGGGAAAGGACATCCAGCCTTTCTTACCTTACTTACAAGATAGCCCATCACTGGGAACTAGATTTCAGCTACAGGTATGGTTTTCAGAAACCTAGTCATTGTGCACTCACAGTACACATACTGTTGTCCCAGGCTGCTCTCCATGTATGAAACTGTGCTGTCCTCAGACCTCACCCCTGTCTGAACCACTCCAGCTTTCCTTGGTCTGCTTATCAAACGGGTAATTATCACCCCCTGCAAACCCCTCAAACTCCTATCCAGTTTCCATATTTCCATTTCAGTTAGCTCTGGATGCTGTGTCTGTATGAATTGCTATTGTATGTGTGATTGCATTTTTCTCTTAATTCTTAACTCTTAATTCTTAACTCTTAATTCACCCCAAACCTGGCATTTCCCTCAGTTATTACTGGTATATAAAAGTGCAAATGGTCCTAAAGGTTACCCAGACTCTCGCAAAAACTAATTTCTCCAACATTTAAAATAATGCTGACATACTTGGTGGGGACACCCACAGTCCCCCCACATTTCTTTTGGTAACAGCTATGAGTGACAACTCATTGAACTAATGTTAGCCAAAATTGGACCTGTTATAACCTCTGCATGAAGGAGAGGATGTGTGGCCATGGCCTCTTATTTGCACATATAGCTAGCCTGTACGTTTGTAAAAAACTTTGGGGCTCTAGTTGTAAGAATCATCTGCCACATACTAACCAGAAAATCATGAGTTGTGGCTCCCAACTACTTTTATCATTATTCCTGGGAATGGACAAAGACTTACATCATAAACATATGATTTCATTTATGCTTTTGGCAGCCAGGTTGAAAATTTCAAAGTCTTGAAAGCATGTTAAAATATTCACAAATAACATCTTGGTTTAGGAGGATTTGCTTAGCATTACCAATGGAAAAGCTAACCCATTAAACTCATGGCTGTTTAATGGGATCTGGCCTGTAAGTCAAGTTTATTGGAAAATGCTTTGTTTTTTTATTTATTACAGCTACACTGAAGGTGAGTTGATTATGGAGATTATTGCATTTCTTTTAAAGCATCTTATCCCTGATGGGATAAAGGCTAATTTAATTTTAAAACTGGGTGTCACTGCACTTGCCGTTGGCCGGGCGCGTGCAACTCTGACAGGTTTGACTTTCATATTTGCTTATTTTTGTTTCCCTTTAAAAGGGTTAACACTTTGGGAAACTAAAATTGCACCCCACAATTTGCCTATGCAAATCAAGATGCTTCTTTTCACATTTTAAAAAGTTGGGTTTGGAATTATTTCTCGGAGCAAGATAGGGTCTGCATAACTACCAACATTTCACAAATTAAAACCAGGACACATGTGGCCAAGCAACATCAGTGTGGTCAAGACAGCTAACGTTATTAATGAGAAGTTTCACATATGGAATGGGGACTGCAGCCAGGAAATCAGAAGAAGACTAAGAATGG